AGTTTGGTCAGGCAGTAGGGCTTCGACACTGTGTAAAGTGCCGTCTAGCAATTGAAAAGGGCAGTACGACAGTTGAAAATGGCGGTATGACAGTTGCAAAGGGTGGTCCGGCGGTCTGGCACTTGTGCGATACGGCAATGCGATAGTGAGATTCGACAATGTGCTGCTAGGGTCCAAAAGTCAACGTGTGTACGAGAAGGGCATTTTCACCTAAAAAATAAACTTTTTCTCTTGGGGGTATTTGCATAGAAAGTTTGTTTTGGGGGAAAAAATGAGATAAAAAGTTAAGGTAGGGGTAAGTTGCATTGAAAGTGTGGTCTTTGGGATGTTTTTGTAATTTTTCCTTTATTTTTATTTTTGGAGAGGTTGATGTTTTTTTAGAGATAGAATAAAATATTGGATTTAAAGAGAGAGAAAGTTGTTAGAGATAGAAAGAGAACTAGGTTTCACATATAGAAAGAGATTTTGGGTTCTTAGAGAGAAATTTAGAAACAAATTGGGTTTTTAGAGAGAGAAATATTGAGTTTTGAGAGAGAGATTGGATTTTAATAGAGAGAGAATGGGTTTTTAGATAGAGAAAAAAGATTGAGTTTCTAGAGAGAGAGTGGTTTAATATTTTTTTTTAATAGAGAGAAAATGGGTTTTAGAATGGGTTTATTGCCTTGCTCTACGCATTAAAATTTTGAAGAATGAAGCTTTTAATAAATAAATAAATAAATAAAGAGGCATGCTAAATGGGCCGGGCTTTATTTGGGCCCATACAAGACACTAACGGGCTAAAAAAGGGACAACCTAGCCCGGTGGACAAATTTCGGGCTCATCAAGCTCGACCTGGAGCCCGCTAGTGACCCGTTTACCAGCCCGTTAGCCAACCCTGCATGGAAGCCCGTAGGAAGGCCCTGTCCATTGGCAGCCCTGAGATTCTAAACTGACCATTTCATATCCTTCATATTTATTGTGAGATTGTCTACAAAGAGATCATTTACTTTTGAAAATTTGTTTCATGCGAGCTGGACCGCATTTCAAGGAAGTGGAAAGCACCATCTTTAAGATGGATGCAAGTAGGTTGGCCATCTAAAAAAAATGGAAATTAATGGTCCAAATGCTTTTTTACTAGAATTATTATTTCTAGTTTTTTAAATATATTATTTTCTCATATTCAGGATCTCCATGTTAGAGACTACATGTCCTTAAAAATTAAGCCTTAAAATCCATCTCAAAAATAGATTTATTAAGAGACCCGCATTTCTACATATGTGGGCTTCACCGCATAGAAACCAGGTCCTTTACTTTTTGTAAAAGAAGGTCACAACTATTCCCACTCATTAGATGTTAAATTGGATGGCTTAGAGTGAGTCATTAAGTTCGAGAATTTTTTGAACTTGGTGTTTAATCAGTGGTACTCTTATAACCACCCATATTGAAATCTAAGGGCCAAGAATGATTGTGACCCCTTTGCACAAAAGGTGGCCTCTTTGTCAACAATCTTATTTAGGAAAGGTTTCTATATTTCTCCAACAACATAGAAGTTCTATCCCCTCCTACCATCCAGCCGTCCAATTTTGTTCAAGAGAGCCACTCACCGTTTGATCTTAAATTCGATGTCTCAATGTATTTTATTTTTAGTTTTTTTTTATACAAATTGCATGAATATGAAATTTTGTACGTGCCATGTTCTCATTGGGGCGCACCTATGAAAAATATTAAAAATATTTTTTGATAAAATATAATGACCAAAATACTTCTTGAAACTTTCAAGGGTATTTTGATCATTTTTTTTATTGAAAATATTTTTTTTATATTTTTGCTAGTACGAGTTTAATAGAGGAATGGAAGTCCAAAATTTGGTATCAAAATAGTTTATAAAAAAAATTAAAAATAAAAATAGTGTAGAGACGTGACATTGTGATTGGGGCAATCTTAGCCCTCCATTTAGAATGGACGGTTGAATAAGGGGGAGGATAGAACTTCTATGTTATAGGAGAAGCATAGAAAGCTTGCCCATCTTATTTAATGCAAAACTTTTAAATCTTTCATATTTAGAACATGCAAAATATATACTGAGACTATTTATCTTGAATACAAGGTTGTCTCAAACTCACAATTAATTTTGACCATTAGATGTGAAATTGGGTGGCTACAGTTATTTTATTGACCAAGCTCAAAGTTCAAAAGAAATTTTTTAGAAATTTGTGATACGCCCAAGCTATCAGATTTCACATCGGATGGTTTTAAGTAATTGTGACCACCTTGTACTAAATGTAAATGGTCTTATTGTATACAATCCTTTTAGAATATATAGTATTTTAAGGCTTGAAATTTTTTTTTTCATAACCGCAATAGTCAAAGTCGAGATGATCA